GCTCCTTGGAGATATACACTGCTACTGAGGCACTGAAATGCATGCGCATCGTCGATACGGACCGCCTTTGGACAGCCCGGGAGGAAGGGCGCGGCGCCGAGTGCTGACTTCTCAATAGGAGGTTTATGTGGGACTTGCTGTGAAAGCTGTAACACTGTAGGCCTGAAATGGAGGATCCTTAAACCAAGGACCCTGCTATTCAGACCCTGTCTTACCGATCCCTTGTTTTGTAAGACTCCGGGCCTAGCCGCATCGATGCCGTCGGCCAAGTTGTTGTCCAATTACAAGCACCAACTCCTGAACTTTGAGCAACATGCCTTACAAGCCTTGAGCCCGAAAGCCTACCAACTTAGACCCTTAACCCTAAATCCTCTGACCCCCAATCCTAAACTGTAAACCCTACTCGTAGCTTCAACAGTCACGGAACCGCTCAGGTTCGACGGAATGCCTGGAGCCCAGCGAGCACCGGGGGTCCGGAGATCACAAACTTCAGCTGTGGCTTCTGTTCTCAAGCTACTGGAACTTCGAGAAATATTTAGATCATTTCAACGCAATGAGGATCCGATTGGCAGAATTAGGGTTTTATCCTTTGTTCTCTGCAGCTCACATTGGGTTGTAGGGTTGGAGAGAGTTAAGGCGCACAGTGTTAAGGGCCTCCCAGGGCATGAGGGGCTGCAGAAAAAGAGGTTAGGGTTGAGGCTTAGGTGATTCAGCGTAAAATCAGGCAGGATCGTAAAGACTCTGTGCTGGTCAGACGAGGTTTCGGAAATTGTCAATCTGGCGTGTCAGCCGACGTAGTATTGTTTGTATGCTTGGAGCCCAAGGATAGGGCCAACAATCCTAAAAATTGAGACAGAAAACCCTCAGCCAGAAAGCACACCAGGTGTGCTCGATTCTGCAACCTAAACCCTAAGCCCGAAACCCGAAACCCTAAACCCTAAACTCTTAAATCCTTCCATGGCCCCATAGGTTGGGAACGCTCCAGCTGGGCTGCTCCCCCAGGTGCTGGCCCCAGCGGGAACACTACCCGATTGGTTGCGCCTTAGCCTGTCAGGTTTTAGGGTTCAGGGCCCCGGGGAGTTTAGGTCTAAGGCTGTTTAAGAGGGGCCTTGAGATAGGCATCCGAGTGCTTAGGATTATATACTGGGCCTGTTTTCGGAAACTCCCTTCTCCAGGTAGGCTATGAGGACTTTGCGTTTGTTCCCTGATTGGGTCTGCATAGGTGGATCTTATTCACGAATTGCGGGCCAGAAAGGTGAGCTTAGTTGTCTTGTGCTCAACTTGTACTTGTTTTGAGTCTGTATAAGTTGGTACCATGCTTGTGTGCTTTGTCCGTGGGGAAGCAGGTTAAGGGCTGTGTCGGAAGGATGGTTAGCAATATCGCGGTGTTGAGGTAGGGCATTTTGGGGTCTTTCAGGGTTTGGGTCTCCGGGTGTCAAAAGCGAAGGGCGCGACGGGCTGGCTGCTAGGGTCGGGTGTTTTGGACTCAGCTGCTAGGTTAAGTAGCCTTAGGCACTGTCGAGGAATGTGATTAGCAGCTTCCAACCACTCTAAGGCTTCGGTTTGTTGTGTATGGTTGTCCCTTTTTGTTCGGGCTCCACGGGTTTTCTTCCCTTTGACCGGCTCAGTATGAGCTTTTGGGTTTAGGCCACATAAACGTGATAGCCCCCTGAACCTCTCAGCTTCAGGCTTTAAGGCTCTTAGACCCTAACCACTAACCACTAAACAACGAAGCCCAAAGCCCAAAACCCCCAAGCACTGGATCTGCGCTCCCCCAGATGCTCCGTGATCTGCGTCCGTCGAAAGCCAAAGAGCTCGGCGCTCAGGTCGAATTTCAGGGCTTCGGGGCTTCGAATGCCCTTGGGGTTCAAGTTGTTCAATGAGTGTTGAGACGGTTTAGGGTTTAGGGTTTACTAAACCCTAAATTAGGGAGTAGGGACAGGGTTAGAAGGGTTTTTGGTTCTACGCCGGTGAAAGGGTTTCATAAGCTTAGAGCTTCCGAGCGAGAGCCTGGGCTTCTTGCGGGCTTTGGCATGAGTCCTTTGGACTGCCGAGGGCCCAAGATCCCTAAACCTTAAACCCAAGCCTAAGACAGAGAGGAAAGAGCCCGAAACCCAAAGAGCCCTTGTTGCCGGAAATGAGCCGTAGAGGCCGCAGTGGTTTGCACCACCGACACGTGCCAGAAAGAAGGATCTACGTATACTCATCCTCCACACAGCAGACATAGTGAACCAGCAGTAGCCAGCTGCGCGGTACTCGCAATAATTCGTTACAGCTGGCATTGTCTACTTTGAGCTCATGAACCTGTAAACTCCGCTTGCGAACTTGGTGCCGAGGCGAAGAAGCAGATGAAGTCGACGCAGCGTGTGATAAACAAGGGGTTTGAGTCTGATTTGCATGGGGCGTAGCAGAAGATATACCGATGAAAGTTTCACTGCCTGAAGCATATATCTAGTCGCTGAAATCTGCAAACATGTTGAGAACCTTGTTCGTGTCGATCAAGGAGGCACAGTCCCTAAACCCCAAAACCCGTTTGTTCGGTGGCCGGACCTGCAGGTATGATTGGGCCCTTTAGGGTTCCTTTGCAGATATCGGATTCCGCGTATACCCCAGCTCTTCACCCCCGAAGGTGTCTTTCTACATGGAAGAGATCGTAGAAGTAGAGTATACATGATACAGTTCTTCATGTTCACACCCTCAGAAGCCGAAAGTCCTACGCCCTTGGACCATAGTCCGACGGGGAGTCTGTAAATGCTGGCATATCAGCGGAACGAAACGAACGGAAGCGGGCGTCCTGATACCCGCCTCGTTCAGCGGTTGTGAGTGAGAGAGAGGGAGAGAGAGGGAGAGAGAGAGAGAGAGAGAGAGAGAGCGAGCGAAGACCCTAACATCCCAAACTTATTTTGAAAGCACCCTAAACCCTAGCCCGGATCCAAAATCCCAGTACTGTATGAAAACGAAGACGACCACACCAGCCAGGACGTTCAGCACGGCATTGGCGTGGAGGAGTGGGAAGGAGGCAGCAAGTACCATGGCCAGCCCCGGCCTCGGCTTGTGCCTCTTGAGCCCTACAGTATATAGGGTTTAGGGTTAGGGTTTAGGGTCTCGCTTCGGGGGAGCGCACTCTTTACACCACCACGCGACGAAAGGCGCCTTGATCATGAAACTATGGATCTAGATCTGTCTTTCTGTACACTTCTGTCTTCTGCTGCTACGTGTCATGCGTGTCATTGTTGCGCAGGGGGCTTGGGCCACTCGCGTTCACAGTACGATCATGCACCTCCCACGCCACTCAGTAACAACACCGAGGTGGCAAGCAGTCAAATGCAGTAACGATGATGCTGAGGATACGACCTGGCTGTGAGCTGTTCCGCACTCCCCCTTTGGCATAGCCAAAGCCATCATCAATCAACTTCCGCAGGATCCCTCGCGAATGCACTGTACGCTTCGGGCAGTACCTCGAACTCTGTTTCCCCAGCCCACTCGCTTTGGAGATATCGCTGCGCTTGGTGTCGGAAATTGTCCGCCACAATCTCGCGCTCATCGGTGTTCTTGATGATGAGAGTTCGTCGTCTATCAGATAGGCATCTGATGTCAATCGGAATCCGTGTTGATGTGGGATCAAGCAACCGGACTCGTCCTCGAACATGCCGTCTTATCACGACCCAACAGGCTTGATCCAACTGGTAGCTGTCTCGTCTTTCTGTGGCAGGCGGCCGGTGATGCAGCGAGCTTGCAATCCCACCCCAACAAGCCTGAGCACATCTCAATTCTCCGACCGTCGGCTGATTGGGAGCTGGCCCCCAGGCTGGATTGATTACAACGAGAGGGTTTGGAGGCAAACCTAACATTCCCCCACTGGTCAGCTTCAGAAGCCATTTCCGCCAGATCCCAAACCGCGATAGCATCATTGAGATAACTTAGAAATTGCAAACGATATGTCGGGCCTACTGCGAACCGCTGTCCACAGAAGTTCGCCTAATTCTCCGGCTCTTGGTCTACTTCGCCGGCCCCCGGGCTAGCGGACAGCTAACTGGCCTTGACGTTGCTAAGTTGCTCCTGGTACCTGGCTCCCAGCTCCTTGATGTAGGCTGTTTGGGTGATATGGAGGTCTTGGCCCTCACCCCAATTAAGACCTAAACCGAGAAACCTCAAAGGCCGAGACGCATCATGGCGTACCCATTCCGGTGTGCCACATTTCCACCGAGCGGTCACCGCATCCAAGACGCCTTGAACAACCGCTTTGTTACCCCCAATGACCAAGTCATCAATGTTCACACCTACGCATCCAAAAAATCTTCGCCGGGACTCCTAAAGGTGTCCAGTCCTGAGGCCCACACGAATCCTCAATCGGCTGAAGACCCCAGCCCCTACTTCGCCTTGTCCACCCTCCACAGGGTGGAAGGTCGAACTAAACCCCGTTGTGCAGGGGACCTTCGCGGCATTAGAACCACCAATTCCTGAACCGAATCCAGAGCGTCACCTTGTCCACCGTAGCTCTCTCCGCTCTCGGCTAACTTGTCGGCCAGCTGCCCAGATCGAGGAAGCAAGTCAGCAGTGAGGAAGGCTGTTCTGATGTCTACCCTAGCTACTTCCTGACCTCTTTTGGTGGAGAAAGCTAATGCTACAAATGCTGATCGCACGTGTGTTATGTCCAACGAAGAGGTGAACACGGATTCTTTGTACTCATGCTTGCTCTCATCTCTCGGTGGCCCCATGTTCCCACATGCTACCACTCTGACCTTGTGTCTGGCGTTGGGTGCTTTAATGGAAAAACACTAGCTTCGATGGCAGTATGGCGACGCGAACTCCACGCTCATGCCACTTCCGCACATCATCACAGGTGGTATTCACCAACGCACTTTTTTCACTAATGAGCGAGTTCAGCTCATCCTGCGCCGGACCTCCCAAAGCTCCCATCTGGCCAACGCCTTTGCCAAACCCACTAGTCGTGTTTGAAACACTTCCCCTTCCGACGGAGCTTCTTTGTGGCTGCCTAGGTTCAACTGGGGCAAGAAGGAGGGCTACGGCTGATACCCCAGCTGCAAGCTTTGCCGATTCGGAGTGCAGGTTTCCAAATTCAGGCTTATTCGGGGAGATGCTAAACTGTGCTTCGATAAACAGGACCGTGAAGGCATCTATCCATTGCCCTCCTCATGCAAGCGGTGTGTGTCAAGCAGGCCGTACCGCAAAGCGTGCACTGCCTTTGTAACACATAGTCACAGCCGACCTCTTCATAATATGGAGAGTGTTCTTGCTATTCTCCGTTCAAGGCGGTGTCCGGATGTAGTGTATCGAGAGGGGGCAGGTGTTGCAGAGGTTCTTGGTTTCGCTTTTGGGGCCTTGATGCTTTGCTGTTGCCAGCTCTTGTACGGGGCATAGACCCCAGCCATGAACCAACTGTCTCCAGCTTCCATGAGGCAAGCCCTCTCCCGCAGGCCAAGAAGTCCCAAAGCCCGGTATTTAGGGTTTAGGGCTTAGGTAGTTTTATTGTGAAGGGGTTTGCATCCTCCAGGCACCTACTCATGGCCAGACGGCTCCATGTGCGACCGGACGGGTTCGGATGGTAAAGGGTGTGTGATGCAGTAGAAGGTGATAGGAACCTCCAGAACTCCAGTATGAGGCTCTGAGTGCAGCTGTTGTTGCCGAGAGCGGCATCGCCGGTATATTTCCAGTTGCATTGCGAGAGCTTAGTTTATTCAACGCTCATTTGAGGTCTAGGAGTCGAGGGAGTCCAGCGACTCGTGAGCTTCGGGTTCCATTGCAGGCTTGGGGTTTGTGGGTCCTTTGCTTTCCGAGTCAAACAGGGGTGCACAGACTGGGCGTGCGAGGTTCAGGGTAACAGGGTGCTGCACGTGAGGCGGAACGCAGCTACCATAATGCAACTCAGCTCTGAAAGAACAACCCCCGCCCTCGGCCTAATTTTGTAGTGTATGCCCTAGAAATAGCACGCCCCATACCCCAATAGGTTTAGCCACCGACCCTGCCAGCTTGTAATTCCCATCTACACCTCTGCAACTTTGTAACCAGTGCAATCATGTCCCTTTTACAAGCAGCAGTAGGGCCAAGTCCTCAACCCGACCGCCCAACATAGGTACATGGGCCAGTGGCACTCCAACGCCATCAACGGCTACGGCCACTACATGGGCCGGGACTGACCGGGGCCCGGGTCCAGCGAGACCGGAACTGTAAACAGGCATGCAGACCATATCCTAAGTTCATTCCTAAACCCTCTCACTATGAATAACTTCCGCAAGGGTGTGAAACTTACGATCCCTGTTGCATACCTTACCAGGTAAGGCCTTGCTGCTTGCTCTCAAAAATGTCTTCTATATTATCCTGAAGCGTAGACGTTCCGACTTCCCACTGGATACTGACAGCAACCGCTGTAGTCCACATGGAGTTCATGGGTGGTGTGTTTGTTCTGGGATTGAAGACCGGTTACCCCAATGAATTCCCAAAGCAACCCTGTCGTCTGGAGTCGAAACATCCATAAATATCTTGTATTCAGCCCTAGAAAAAGAACCCTACACCCTCAACCCCTGACCACCGCTCCTTTGGCGAGGACGGCCGCGAGTACGGGCCCAAGTTACGTGCGCGAGTCCCTTCCGAACTGTCCTCGGGTATGTTAGAGTTTAGCGGGTAGTGTGGTGCTCTGTATAACCTTCATGAGAAGCCTCTAGAAAATCAATGGAATCCGTCTGAGTAATACGTACTAAGAATACCCCTTGTGCAGTTGCACATACTATATTAAGTTACTATATTATACATCCCAAGCCGTACCCTAACGATAAAGATCGCCATGTGAGCCCAGACTCTAGACCCTTATATCTTACATACGTTGCATTCAAACAGAACAGTCAACCAGGAGTGTGCACTTCGCAAACTCTAAACTGACACTCTAAACGCACTAAGCCGAGTCCTCAACACGGAGCTGAATCTGATTCCGCTAGAAGTACTTGCAATCATAGTCATAATCATCCTCATGGTGAGAAAGTCGTAACCTTAAGCCCTAAACCCTATAACCCCTAACTTTAATATTGGAAGCCGTTAGATGCGAAACCACTGGGCAGATCGCTGGCAGGTTCCAGGGAATGTGGCGTGGCGCGGTCATCCACGGATGCGGTCGCTACTCCTGGCCCGACGGGCGGACGTGGGGACCCCCGGGTCATTTAAGGACGAAATGGCCCTTGAAGCTTTGGGCCTCGCAAGGGTGAAGCAGGGTATTAGTATTAGAAAGGTTTTGTCAGGGTTGTTTAGAGGCCTTACTACCTATTTCCTGCATTAATTTAGATGGGGTTTGAACCACAGGCTCTTTGAGGCTTTATTGTTCCGCAAAGAGCGTGGGGTCGTTTCGCAAGTCCTGCATAAAGCCTACACTGCCGTGCACCCTATGCTCCAGTATGACCCTACCGAAGCCCCAGACATAAAGCCCTCAGCCTTAACTGTCAATCCATGAACTCTGATGCCCTAAACCCTATAAACCCTAAACCCTGCTTTTCGGAGCCTCCTCAGTTCGCGTTTTCGGCCCCAAAGTCCGCGGTCTTGGGCTTCGATGGCCTGAGCAAGTAAGGATTAGTAGAATTTCCTGATCCAGCATCTGGCAGAAGCATGATACCTCACCTCTACAAAAGCTGGAAGCATGAAGGAAGAAGTTCCACAACTGTTCCAACGGGATTCGAGCCCAGGGCATGTGCGGAATTCCAAGGTTCAAGGGCCAATATGCCGAAGATCAGAAACATGGATTCGGAACGTTCACCTGGCAGGCACGGCTGTGTGTGTTGGACTGTTTGGGTGTGCGGTTTCCGTCGTGCTGTGATTTGGTTTCGAGGAGATGCCCTGCGATCTAGGGTTAGTTCTGCTTGTCTTTGTTCCGATTCGCCTCAAGTTTCTCGTGCTCCTCGCCGGCTGGATTCAGGCTTCCATGGCTTCACTCAGCCTCAGGATCTGCCAAGCAACAGCTAATCCTCGGCCTAGGCCCTAGTCCAAAACCCGGGCCAGCTCCTGGTTTCCAAGTCATCCCAGACCTTCAAGACAGGCCGGAACGGTCCTAAACCGCAACCCTGGCCTCAAATTCAAAGGGTCCACATGTTGACTGCTTTCAGCTGGGTCCAGTATTTCAGTGGCTTTTGGAGGCTTCCAAAGTCATATGGAGACATGCTGGGTATCTGTTTGTAACACCGTGTCAGGCAGGTTCCAGCTAATGATGCTCTTCTGCTACGATCCCTCGATCTCGAAAGTGTCATAAGACTCAGACCTCTGATTTCATGGCGCAGGCAACTACATCATGATGTATCTATTTGTTTGTCTATGTATCCATCTACCTATACACCTATCCATCTACATGTCTGCCTATCGGTCTATCCATCGATCTGTCATTTGTCTGTCTATCTATCGTTCAATCTGTCTGTCTTTGTCTTTCACTTTCTAGCTGTCTACCGATCGACCGACCTACCTACCTACCTGCCTGCCTACCTATTGCTCCATCTATCTCTCGTTCTATCTGTCTGGCTAGTTACCTACCGATCGATCTCCCGCTCTATCGACTCGAACATCTATCTATCTGTCTATACATCTACCCATCTTTCAATGTGTCCGCCGCCCTGAGGATATCTAGCCGAACCCATGTACATATGTTTGTGAATATATTTATGTGTGTATATGTATATATATACATACATATACACATATGTATATGTATATGTATATGTATACATATGACGACATGACATGACATTACATGACATGACATGACATGATGCGACCTGAGATGATATTCTGAAATGTATTGAAATGTAATGACATGAAATGTAATGTCACTGTCTGTATGTACGTACGTATGTCCGTATGTATTTATGTTTTGCTTGTTTGTTACACACACAGACACACACGGAGACGCACGTACAGAGACAGCCAGACAGACAGCCAGCCAGGCAGGCAGGCAGACAGACAGACAGACACCTACACCTATACCACCTACGCCTACACCTACACCTGCACCTGCACCTACACCTACAACTACACCTACACCTACACCTACACCCACACCCACACCCACACCCACACCCACACCCACACCCACACCCACACCCACACCCACACCCACACCCACACCCACACCTACACCTACACCTACACCTACCTCTACCTACTTACTTACCTACTTACCTACCTACCTACTTACCTACCTGCCGCAGCACCATCTACTCCCGACGGGTTGCGCCGAAGAAATACCGGATCGACACATGCACAAACCGGTCGCTGAGTGCCGGAGTGGCTTTGCATGCGCCGCGATGCCACCGCTGACTAGGACGACTGGGGCCAGCTTTTGTTGCAACACGTGCCGGAACCATTTGTTTGCCCGTCTCACGGCCGCGTTTCACCTCCGCGAGTTTAGCCGCGATGTAAGCTGCCTCCGCTGCCGAGGCAATGTGGTGCGACCACGGCCCTCCTGTACGCACTTGCTGCTGGGCGGACCAACTGCTACGCGCGGTTAGTCGTTGCTGTGTGTGTTCGTGGCGGAAGCACTCTTGTAGGATGTAGTCGCGCTGCATCACGAAGCTCCCCCTCCCCATCGCCTGGTTCCGGCGCCCGTCCCGCTCCAGTTCCACCTCCAAGTCGCGCATTTCCGGCACGAACAACGGGGCAGGTGGGAGTTCGGCATCGTTCAGCATCAATTGCGACGTCACCATTGGCTCGGCGCTCACACGCGAGGGGCATCCACAGCCCTCAGCCGCGAAAAGAGAGGCCGAACGCAGCATGCGAATGCTCGCATGCGAGACCGGGGGCCCGTTCCGGCTCATCCCTGCTCCGGTTCGAGGAGCCGCCACCCAGGGCTGGTTCAGGCGATGGCTTGCTGCCAGTTTGCTTCGGATTCCACCCGTTGCCGGACTCATGCCTGGCACGCAGGCACCCGCCCTCTTGCAGGAAACCCTGCACGTTCCTCACCGTTGCTAACTGTTGTTCGCATGTGCGGTCACCGTGCGCGAATTTTTCGAAAACACGAACCTTTCATCTCCCCAGTTCAAAAGTCCCAATGCGGCCGTGCTGCTTGTTTCGGGTGCCCGCGCGCTTTTGAGAAAGGTGTGCTTCGCAGAACCCGTTCTGTTGGCACGGTCGCTTGAGACTTCCAAGACTGCGCAAGCCCTGTGGCAGCCTTTGGTTTTCTGGTTTGTTTTGTTGCAACCGCAGCAACAAATTCCTCAGCTGTCCCCTAGCGAGAGTGGCTGCGCAGCTTTTCCAGTCAGCCGCGGCGCGTTTACAGCAAAGGTGCCGGCGCAGCGAATTGCAGCGGACTGTGCTCTGCACTGTTTTTGCAGCCGGTAAAGGCGAGTTGCAACAGACGTACTTTTCCGTCCGGTCTTGACACAAGGGACGACGAGCAACCGAGCATGCGGGACGGACACAACTGCTGCGTGATGGGGGGCCTTCTGCTATCCCGTCTGCTCCCTTCCGTGTTGCGCAGGATGCCATGGTGGCCTTAGCGTTCGCAGGTTTCGGTTGCACTGCACCTGCTGCAAGCTGCTGCGCAACCTGCTGCGTACCTCTGCATATTGGGTGACACACTCAAGCGGTCCCCCTCACACACACCAAGGGCAGGTCAGCGACATGATCATCCAACGAAACAAGCGGGCGTAAGCAGCGGCACTTGCCGAGTCGAGGACGAGCTCGGGAACGTAGCAATCCCGCCTACCGCAGAGCACGAAAGCCGGCTGCAACAAAAGAGGCTTCAACTTGGAGGCCCTCCGCTGAACTGTTGCGGGCACCCAGTGCAATTGACAACTCGCACAGCGAGGATGCATCCCACCGCTGCGCATTCCTGCTGGCAAACCGGCACAGACGTGCGCTGGTCCGCGACCCCAACCTCCAAACCGCAAGCAGGATGAACGGTGCAATGGACATCCGTCGTGGGGTGGTTCCATTCGCGGTTGACACAATATTTGTCCGCCCATTGGCTTCCGCCGCGGGCATGCCGCTGCCGGGGCAGTCGTTGCACAGGCCGCCGGTCCAAGGAATTCACGTACCCTGAGCTCGGGCAGACGTACAATGCCATTCCGTTGCAACGCGCAGCTGCAGTCGCTGCCTTCGTTGTTGGACGGTGGACGGGGCTGCTCACTGGTGATGCAGCGGGATACTTTGCTCCAGTCTTTGCTCCTGGCGCGCTCCCCTTCCCAGCATCCAGCACTGCACAAGTCGACGGTGAGCCTCCTCTGCTCAGCGATGTCCTTGCTGATTCCTCGGAGACACATCCCTTGGCCGATGTGCGCACCGCCTGAGTTCCTAATGCAGCGGGACCGTTCCTCGCCAAGCTGCACGAGGTCGTGCCGGAGCTGCTGCCCTTTTGCGCATTTCGATGGCCCTGAATCTACAAATCGTGGGACGACCAGGGGCGATGCCGCGAAGTAGGTTGCGAGCTAAACAGGGGTCCACCAGCCCACACTTCGTTCGCCCTGGGGCAGCATGATGCTGCACCGAGCGGCGGCCACCCTTCACCCCGACGACAGGTTGGTCGCAAAGATATACGCCATTGACATACCTTTAGTTCACTACGACGTCCTTCCCGTGCCAGGACATCGTTCACGCTGCTGTCGAGGCCGTAGCCGACCACTGTGGCATCGGGTCCCATTTCGGCACAACACGAGCGATATGCGGTTGCGAGGGGCCCCCACCATCAGGCATCGTCGACCAGCTTCCGGGCCCGGAGCTAGACCGTGTGCTCGACCTCACCGAAGCAGCGGGGCCTTCGGGGGGGGCGGGGGAATACTCAAGCAATGCCTCGCGGGCGCAGCCGAACCCGCAGATTCGCATGTGCGAGATCCGGCGACATGTCCAGGCCATTTTGGGCACTAGAATCGGCGGGGTGTTGCTGATTCGTTACCAGCTATCCACGCCCGAATTTTTTTTGGTTTGCCGAGCGTTATCGTGGAGCACTGAGGCGCTGCTGTGACGACGCCCCCAATTTGTGCGTCCTCATAGGAGCTTGCCCGGGCCCGCCGGAACACAGGCCCCGCAAACTGGCAAAAGCAAAAAAACATGGTTGTTGGCAGTTTCATGCGTCGCGCACTCGCAACCACATTTCCGCGACAGTATAGGGGTCTGCCAGCTATAGGTCCGAATCGGGCCTCACGCAAGGTCGTGGCTCATTGCCATACC